GGGGGGGGGAGACACACAATGAGTAAAAATACACAAACACTTGTATCGTTCACCCCTGCATGGAGCCTGAGCGATCCTGCTGAGCCACTCGGGCCTCTGCCCTCCACAGGGAGGGACCGGAGGTCACTGCTCTGAGGTGCAGCAGCCTGGGAGCTACCAACAGCTTGTGAGGTGACAAGGAGCCACGCCCTCCTCTACGAGTTCTCAGTAGAGTTCTCATTGCTGTTTGAACCTGAGGACTGAGGGGTAGAGGAGGAGGAGGAGGACGATGATGATGAAGAGAAGGAGGTAAAGTTTATCCGTGATAGTTCTGGAGGGTTTGTTGCTGTGTTTTGTCCACTCAAGCTTTTCCTGCACACTGGGCAGGTGTCATGCTGGAGAAAACAAACAGAGGTGTTTTAGTGTCGTTGCTCATCACCAGTCACCTTTCCACCCATGCTTTTAAACAGCAACTGAGAAAATATTTACTGTGTCATGGACTAATTATTTATATCTGTTTCACCTTGACACTGTCCATTACTCATATCTTATGATAACTTATTTCGYCTCTTAATCTGTTTGTTTCCAGACGTCAGGACCCCAGCATCGGACTGACCTCTCTTGTTCGATAAGTTAACTCTTTGAGCTGAGAGCCTGTCATTGGCTAGACAGTAATATTAGTTGGATTGTGATTGGTTGTAAACTGTCGCATGGTGTTAACATGAGGTTATATCATTGGTTTGCTGTCTGCTGACGGCGGCCACAACCCAAAAGACTTCCTTGATTGTTTTCTGTTTTGTTGTTTGCTCAGAATTAAATAAGTGACGACCATACACGCAGATTTTCTGTGCATTTATTCCAACGTGTTTCTGCATTCTTGATAAACCTGCCACGACATACTGTAAGCAAAATGGAGAGCTGAATGTGTCCGTGTGTTTAATACCTGCTCCAGCCAGGGGACTATGCAATCGTTGTGAAACATGTGATTGCACGGGAGCTGCCTCACGTTTTCACCAATACTGTAATCTTCTTTACACACTGGACATTCCAGAGCCGAGGCTGGAAGGGAATGTTACAAAGTTCAGTCATTTCWTCTAAACTTCAACTGTCAAGTAGTTTTAGCTCGATTTTAACCAACAACAAATAACAACAGTGAACTACTTGAAGTTGGGACGCACATAGCGAGTATTTTGACAGTKAACTAATCTGTCAATCATTTTTTTCGATCAATCGATTAGTCACTGTTATTTGACCAGTAATTTAACGCAACCACAGGGAATATAGGCAGGTATGCCCCAAGCAGTTTGTGTATTTTATTTAGGTACAAATGAACATTTACGTGGGTAAATAATACAAATATTTGATAATAAAATTCTGTGTCTAATAACTTTTGATTTAATTATTGACATAAAGGATTATTTCAAATAACCGGTGCAGCTGTAATTTGAAGGCATCCAACAGTTAAAATATGCTTAATAAAAAGAGACTTCAGTTGATACCAACTGGATCTAAATGTGTGAAWAATGTTTCAAGAGATTTATTTTATTTTGTAAACATACCATATGTGCATCAAACTGAAAATGTTTTCCATATGTTTTTCGGCARCAAACACGTTCCACAATTTTTGTGCTATTTCAGCAATTCATAAAGTAAAAATATTCAGCTCAGTTGCTGACTTTTAGCATTTTAGCCACGTGTACTTTTTTTGCTTTTCATGATGTTTTTAATAAGTTAAAACTCTAAAATGTTTATCTTTACTGTAATTTTTCCCTTTTGTTTTGGTTCTGCTTTAATCCGCCTCTTTGTGCCAATTTCAGATTCCTTCAACTTATTTTTTAAACTTTTTTCTGTTCCTTTCAGCTATTCTGTTTAAACTTTTAGACTTCTATCAGCTTCTTTCTGCAAATTTGAGCTTTTTATGCCTTTTTTAGCCGATTTCTGCTAATTTAAGTTGTTTTCTGCCTTTTCAGCTACTTTTCAGTGAATTTTTGATTTTTAAATTAACCTTTTTGTGATCATTTCAGCTACGTATGGCTTAATTCAGCAAATGTGCTCAGTTCTCTRCTTTACGCTAATTTCAGCTCTTACAGCTATTTTGAAAGCAAATTTTGGCTGCTTTAGCTGCTTTACAACAATTTGCAACTTTGTTGTACTCTTTTTTTTTTTGTTTTTCAGCCGATATGAATTTTTTTTACTCTGTCCTTCATCTATCTGTTCATTTCAACTTGTTTCTACTTTTGTGGTCCTTTCAGCAAACTCAGCTGTTGAAATTAACTCAAATTAACAGTTTTGCTAACATTTTCAGTGTCTTTATCAACTTTCAGGAACAATGTTTCTATATTGAGAATTCACATTCACTAGTATTTGTTAATTATTCCAAACCTATAATTCTTATCTGTTTACATTAATCAATTTATTTATTTCAGTCGTTCACTTCTGTTGAATTAAAAAGCTTCTAGTCAATGCCTGTTGCTTTCAATGTGCTGATATCAATAAAGCGACTTGACGTTCACACTCCAGATACAAGAAAAAAAAAAGACATCCAGCAGCAATGGTCATAACTATGTTTTTACTCACCAACATGCTCATCTGTGATTTGTACTGAAGGAAGATTTTTGATTTTATCCCTATCAGCAGGTGGAGGTCCTGTGTTTTCAAACTGGTTTAATAACTAAATAGAGAAAAGTGTTAAAAAATAATTAAATATATTTATTTGCTCTGCAGAAATGCTTCAATACCATCAAAAATTTCTACTCAAATAAATATCGTTTTTTTAAACATCTTGTTTTAGTGATTACCTGAGTTATAATAGCATCAAGTCCATTAGCACCCCAGGCATAGTCCATAGGATTTGAGTGAAGAACACCCCTTTAAAAAATGATAAAGCATTAAAATAAAATAATTTTAAAATTGTTGTTTAAGCTCTCCATGAGACTCACCAGGATCCAACACCAATGTGTGGCATTGCAGTTGGTGCAATTATTCCATTCACTATCTGCTGAATGATTCTACAAAACAAAAAATTATTATGTCATTGTAGGAAAATGAGACGAAAGCATTGAAAAAAAAAAACCCTTAACTCCTGTAATTGGATATCTTACCCCTCTAAAGTGGGAACTCCCTCATGCCTCCCTGCCTGCCGCCTGGAACCGTGCCGACCTCTGGGTTGCCTGGCGCTGTATCTTTGCCGTGATGTGGTGTCCCGTTCCAACCCGCTTTCAGAACTCTGGTTGTCGCTTGTTCTATGTCCAGAGTCAAAGCCGTCATCAAAGACACTGAGGGAGAACTGACCGTAGCCTGAGGGCAATGTGAATAAATTTGGGTCTGCATTCTGGTAAACAAAAACAAAAAACGACATAAGAAAACAGCAAAAAAAGTTATTTCATAGCCAATATAATACTTTCAGTATGGTAAACTCTTGGTCATTATTTGTTCAATTTAACACATTTATAACATTTTCTATTTAGTGAAAAGACTTCATCTTGATATTTCTGCACAATTATTGTCCAAAACATTAAACCTGAAGTTTAAACTGGTACTTGCAAAACAGGCCAGTGACTCAAAAGCAGAAGTAAATCTATGACAGCTTCTATCACATGAAGTACAACATCAGCACAAATGTCAGTGGAAACACATTACTCCTTTATTTGGAAATGCTGACTGTTACACAACAGTGTGAATAAAAGAGTCACGACCGTGCAGAAACAAGTTTGTGGAAAGATCAGTTTAGAAACCTCAAACCTGGAATGGCTGCTGGTTCTGGGGCCCACTGGAGTTGTTTGACAAGGACTCACTGTCAGCACTAAGCAGAAAACAAACAGTGGATAAAGTGGGTTTGGTAACATTAAAAGACAAACAGTTTTATATCAGGTTAAAGTTTTCATGATTTCAAACATTTGTATCAGAATTTTTCGCTGCCAATTCACCTCCTGAGGCTCAGCCTGTCACCACCAGAGTCACACTAAGGCAACGTGAGTCAGAAAAGCACAACATTCAGCTGCATCAGTTGAAGTGAGGCACGAGTTTATCTAATATTTTGCTGCTTTGTGTGCAGAATCACACACTGCTTTATAAAAAATGAAAAAGCTTTTGTCCAGTTTTGAGAAAGCACTGTAAACAAGACGGGCTCTGGCAAAACAGATATAAAAATAAGCTTAAACTGGATTCAATGAGCAAGTGTGCACAAATTGTTACTGTTTAGGTTTTAATTCAAGTTAAACTCTAAAGCATTGTTTTACAAAACAATAACTTTTTAAACTTGAGATATGTAAGATTTTGTTTTACACATAAAGAACGCTTTTTGTTGTTTAAAAATATTTTTAAATACCTTATGAAAGCATTTAATATTCTGTTTTACCCAGGGGAGCCCAAAGTGGGGCCCATGGGCCAAATTTGGCCC